CTTCTCGAAGCCATGCCTGACAACACCTAACCACAGTGTCTACACTTCTTTGCACTCTAACTGCAATTGCCCGAAAAGAAAGTCCAGCTTCCCGAAGTCCCACTATACGGCCCCTATCAAACTCACTAAGTTGACGAAATCGTACAGGTCTCCGTACTCTAGGCATCGTAACAGATCGTAAAGGATGTCAAGAACCAAAATCCGCCAACGTTGATTCTTTACTGCGGCTGAAATATTCATTTTTAGAGCGTTAGTGAATTAAAAAAAAGTAGTATAAAAACCGGAATGTCCAACTGATAAGGCTGAAAATTTTTTCACTTGTTATTTACAGTAAGATAAATACATTCACCAACTTTTATTAAAATAAAACCATTTAAACTGGGTGTTCGGATTTATATGTCACTTAGTATATGTCGATATGCTATGGATCTTTTGGATTCAGTCAAATTAGAGAGGCAATCTTAGGTTGTTGGTGGGACTGTTGTCTGGACAAAACACGTTGAGACGCCACCTGCATGTGATGGGGGTGACTGAGGATCCCATGTGAGGGCGAGGTAGATGAAGAGTCCTTGGCGCATCTCCTGCGTAGGTGTGAGGAGCTGAGCTACTATAGGCAGACTATACTGGGGCCCAACACTTTGAATCTCCAGAATGTTAAGGATTTGTGGGACTCAGGGCTATACTCAACTTTGCTAGGAGGGCGGAGCTTGAAACTTGGGGAACGTTTATGTGGCCTACGCGCCGACTCCTCATGAAGGTCGGCAGACCTCTAATTTCATTATTCATTAATTCATTCAACATTGGACATCTGACACCGGTCATCAGAAAACATCGTCATCTTTTGGGCTCGACACGATTTCGAGAAATCTAAACAACTTTCAATATTCTAGCTTCATCTCATTATGGCTATGCAATATACATAGGCTCCTAAGATATCGCTAATAAATGTGTTGGTGACACTCAAAAACTTGAGAAATGGATAAAAACAAAGGTAGCAATTTTTATGAGATGTAGTACTCAAAAGAAGTTTTTGACTATATACTGGAGCGGAATCTTGCTTTATTTGGAACTAAATTTAAAAAAACTGTCGTATTTCTCAAAAAGGGAGGAAGGTCTTTAAAAATTACCTAAAATAAAAATTGTATAAAATACACTTATATGAAAAAACTGTCCAAATACCTTCATTTGTTCAATCGTTATTTATCAAACTTGAATATGAACATATAGGTGGAAGTGTTGGTGTATGATACCAAAATACTTAAAATTTGTATAGAAGACAATTGGACTTAAAGTGCTTTGACACTGGAAAAAAGTCATCTGCGCTGTTCACATATCGGTCTGCTAAATATCCGCTGAAAATAAACGAAGGGAAAGTCGTATTTCCCGAAAAAAACTCGTACCCACTTGAAAATTACTTCAGGCAATATCTTATTAAATTGAATATACCAAATGTTCTTATCGTGCGAATTTTTTTTTAATGGAGGTTAAATTTCAAAATTACCATTTCGAAACGGTGAGAATAACCACAAATATAGCCTACACCAAAAATCTATTTAAAAGTTGCTCGATTACTTTTTTTCGGAAAAAACGAGAAGGAAACAGATTAACGAGTAAGAATGATGAAGAATTCTGAGATCAATATTTTTTTGGCGATCGATTTTCGACCGTTACAAAACAGTTATCTTTTTGAGCTGCGCGTCTTTTTATTAAACTTTTAAAGTAACATCTAAGCTTTGCTCTTTTACAAGTTTCTTCACCTCCGGTACGTAAAGTACTTCTCTAGGCTTGGAGTATGCACGTCTGTTTGCCTCCTTCCTCTTCACTTTCTCGTTGACAGTCGTCAATTCCCTTGGAGCGTTATTGTATTTATATATATATATATATATATATATATCAGTCGGCCAGCACGTGTTAGATAATGTGGAGATTACTAGGAAAGATGAAATCTCGAAGGATTTTTCAGTAGCTGATAAATTTTCAAGTTCTAAGTCAGTCAGTGGTTTAAAAAACATAGCTATGATTTTGCCATTTATTAATAAATTTAGAAAAATCCGTCCTAACCGAACCTCATCGGCCCAGTTTTTTGTTCGTTGACTATGTGTTCTCTTTCACTGTCGTTTGAGAACAATTGAAGACCTCGGTGCAAAAACCAGGTAAGTCCAATTTCTATCAAAAATTGCTTTTTAGAATTTTCTAAGTATTCGGATCATTGCGGACCGCTTCTAACGTGAAATATCATGTGTTTCACTTGCTTGGTCAAGTTTTGGTAAGATGAATCAGGCAAGTGCAGAAGATCATTTTGCATAGAGACTTGTCTGGATTCGATCGTGCGGTCATGTAGTTCTCACGACGTGTGGCGTGATTTAGTATGCAATTAACAGTAACGGCGTATTACTCGCACCGCAATAAGTCATATTTGGCGCGAAAATGTTGCCAGAAGACAAGCCTTTTCAATCGTCAGGAAGGTAATGCTAGAAGCGATTGAAAGTAAACCAAAGATAACTTAGACTTTTATCACCATCATTTTTTACACAACTTGAATATAAGCTTCGGGTCCTCAAGATCGGATACTTGTCAGACATGCGACATAATGTAAAACCAGATTAATGCAGAGCAGAACACAGAGAATAAAACCTCTTTACAAGCAGAGAAATAGTTCTCTCTGTTGAAGTGTTATATTTTTTAAAGTTGTGAACATGATAATGGATTTTACAACACAGCTTTTTTGAATCTGCTTTTGTTAGCAAAAAAAAGTTAAGTTTAGCATTTATACCTACCAACTTTTTCAGTATCAAAAAGGATTTAAATACGTAAAATGCAGTGTGGCAATATCCATCCCAGTTTTACGAGGTTTTATATTTAAAAAAAATATGTGCTATTGTGCTTGCCAAGTTCACATATGATACAACCCTATCCTTTGCCGCTTATTGAAAAAAGGCTGCTGCTGATACTTTTATCAGCAAAATACGTACCGGCCGCCGAACTGTGGTAAGGTACTTTCTTCGGAGAATCCGAAAATATTGAAGTTCCACAAGAAGCAGTTGGTACAGGTGATGATGCTTATGACTCCAGTGCATCATTTATTTAGTTGAAGATTTATTTTTGTTACCACTTTTCCAAGTTATACTGGTTTTGTTCTCTTTGACCATCAAAACTGTTAGGACTAATTTTTACATTTTTTCAATATAATGTTCGGGGCCACAACCAGGTAAGTCCAAATTAATTACAAAAAAAAATGAAAGTGTGGGTTCATGTTTTCATGTTTTTCTATATTGAGCAAGTTTCTTATTACTTTCTCTATATCCTAGAATAAAATGGTTTTCTGTTCCATATTCTTAAAACAAAATATTCATTTTTTTCTTCCCAAAACTTTCTATAATATGACCTGCCTGGTTTTTGCACCGAGGTCTTCAGTTTCAACAACAATTTCGCCAACTGACTCCGGACGATGATAGCATAGACCATCGAAAGCTCGAGTTTAAGTTAAACGGGCGTACTTATGCAAAATTTTTCCTTCATCCCAAAGACATTTAAGGATATTATACCATACCATCATACCATTATTATTATATCAGTTAAGGCAATTAACTATGAATAATATATATATATATATATATATATATATGATCTGCGAATGACACCCATATTTCTCACTCAATGCTGCGCAGTATCACAGAGCAGCTTTTTCTCTTGGTTTAAAAGTTAACCATAGCTCATTAACAGGAGTGATAACGTTAATAGTTATTTCCTTTAGAATAACACTTACATATGTGTTAAGATAGTTATTGAACAAAATAGTATCACTGCAGTGAAGAACATTCTAACGTGATTTCTCTGCATTTTATTCACATGTTTTCCACAAAACTATTTGCATCCTTCCTATTGTAATTATACTTTGCAACTAGGTATATTGGAGGAATGAATTGACACAAGGCAATCAAATCCAACCCTGTGGTTGCTACCCTTCACATTAGATTTACTATCGCACCGCAATTATACAATTAGGGGTAGAGGGTCTGTCATTTTTGATGTTTATTTAAAAAACAGTAGACGGTCATAGTAGGTGTTTGTTATCTTCATTGAATTTGTAATGTGTATATTCATGAGGCGGAAACGAGTAACTGTGGAATTGTGGATTTAATTCATAACGTACATATATGCATTTCGTGTTTGGTACAGCGAATATAAACGTGAAGATCGGGCGCCGAGGAAATGGAGGTTTAAACACGGATATTGGTATTCCTTTACGTTGTCCAGTTTGTAACCCTGCCTACAAACCTATGTATTGTGTTTCTTGATTATGAAAAATGGTCAATATGAAGAAACTGTGTGTGCTGAAAAATCTCCTTAGCAAAACATTACGCGTTTTATAAAATATTTAAAAGTTGTTGCTTTTCCAGGATACTTTTTTGTTATTTTCTTCAACCTGCCGAATTACTTGGCATATTTTACTAACATCCGTCAATCGTAATATTTCTTGTCTGGAATAGTTATAATCATCACTTAGTCAGCCATTCCAGGGGTTGTTGAACTACATTTCACATATTTTATAACCATTAATACCACCACCTAAATCGGTCGTATCACCTGGAATATGTACAGTTTTTGTCACTTTGTCCCACCATGCAAAAACAAATATTTTCCTAAATAACATCTCCGGGCATTTTTAACTGGGTCATCAGGTGAGAATATCAAATTAAAGTTGTTGTATAAAAAAAGATTAAGTATTCAGATTTACATCACTATTCGTTGAGTAACTTTAAGTCTTTGGAGAAACCCTATAAATTGAGCAAGATGAAGAATTAAAAAGCATAACAAGAAAGAACCGCTAATCATTTATATTTGATTTATTTTGAGCTAATATCGATCAAGAATTATAAACCTTCGTCTTATGTAATATTCAAAGTTTGCGAGAGACGGACGAGTAACGGACATGTAATTGAACCTTATGTTTACTTCAAGTTAAATATTACAATACTGCATGCAAGTTAAAAACTTACCTCACAACGAACTAATTCCATCAGCTGGTACCTGAAATCAATGGTTTAATGAATATTATTGCAGACGTGAATACTAAATATGACGTCAAATTCAAACACTGTACATAATCTTTACACAACAATAAATGGTTAAAGGAAACAAGATAGTAAATGACGCTATTTTGGTATTTAACTTAAAAACCATTATTTTTATTTCAGAAGTCTTCATTATGTAGTGATTACAATGCAGATTCCACCACGAAGGCCCAAACACCGATGGGTACAGTAGTCTCAGTCTGTCAGCGTACGCGAAAATATACAGGGTGTGCAAACAGTATGAGATCAAAATATCTCGAAAAATACGTGTCCTATAGAAAAATAATGTTGGACAAAATTGTAAGGTTTAAGGAAATGAAATATCCACTGGTGATCTTGAACATAACTTTGATCGAGGCCTTCAAGGTTATTTAAAGGTCAAGACACTTTTCTTAAATGAGACCATTGAGGCTTTTGACACCAGAAATATAATGAGCGGGAAATTCTAGGTTGAAATTTGTCTTTGCTCATGATCTTGACCATGCCCTTCATGGGTATTTGAGAGTGTCCAAGAAGTAGGGACATAATAAAATGTCTCAATATATACGTTTCATAAAGAAAAATGTTGTCTATCAAAGCTGTAAGGTTTTGAAAAGATTCATCTAATGATTGACATGACCTTGAACATAATCTTGGCTATGATCGTCAAGCTCATTTCAAGGTCAAGACGGTTTCTTTTACTAGAAAGGGCAAGAGTGTTTATGTATGTCCATTTTCTTGACTATGACCATCAAAGTTATTTGAAGCTCAAATAAATCTTTAAACGAAAGCTTCTATTTTTAGATATAAATTGCAGACAATTCTAAGTTCAGTAAATCCTTGTCAATGAACCTGGCCATGACCTTCAAGGATATTTCAAGGTCAGATAAATTTTCAAGTAAGCTACTTACTTTTTGTAGAGGGTATAAAAAAGCGAATTATTGGTATCCATTGATATTACATTGAAGTGTTGGATAAAAATGTTTCATTTCCAAAGCTACCATTGCATTGCTTTATACAGGGTGACTTCGAAGTTGAGTCATTTATTTTAACAGTGAGTAGATCTGATGAAAAGAAATGTTTTTTTCCTTTCCCATTTTTCTGGTAAAATTAAAGTAACAAAGTTATAGCCCTTTGGAAGTTTGAGTACCGCCCTGTCTCAATAATAATATTATGTGCTCGTATTTGGCAACAACGGATATAATCCGCCTTATCGGTTCATCGCATCGGAAACAAAAAAGCGAAAGAATTTGGAACGATGTTTTTACAATTATTTTATTCAGTTGTATACAGTCAGTGTCAGTCGGTAACGCGTGAGTGAATAGTGGTGTCTGTTGCGTGGCTCAAACGAAATCAAAAATGGCACATGTTTAGGAAAATGCTGAACTTGTGGACATGATTCTTATTTACGCGGCATCACGGATTTATGCGGATCGGTTTCCCAATCGAGTGCAACCAACCTCTCGTGCCTTTGTTAATCTAGTACAAAGGGCTCGTGAATCAGGTGACTTAAGACCTCACAGGGGAGAGCATGCCGGTGCTCCAGGACCGCACGATCAAATACAGGTCCGCACTGAAATACTTGTCGGGAGGATACTTTATAAAACAAAGTAACATTTTTTTTTTAATTTTTTTTTTTATTTTTACACACATATTTTGGTTTATCTTCCTTCTACGATCATTATCTGAAAATTAATGACTCAACTTCAAAGTATATTGTATTTCCTTCTCCATAACCAATTTTACTCACACAGATGCAAAACGAATGGCCTATACATTACAACTACTTCCACGCGAGTCTAGTAATCTGTGTAACGATTTACAAAAATTTTAAACCGCCTAACTGGCCTTCTTGTGGATATGTTTCTTATGAAGCTATAATGTTCCAGATGGCATTAAAAGTGTACAATTCAGTAAGTATTGAGGCGGTACTATTAAAAAACCGGACTTTCTTGACAACTATTATTTATTCCGTAATAACTAGATGCTCCTAAAAGGTAGTTGCATCCTAGCAAGGACCACTGTCAAATTTTTTCTGGTCGTCGTATAACAAAACATTGACATTTCTTGGAACAATACCAACATCTTAACTCAAATGAATACAAAATAATAAATTTTATTCGATACCCTATCAAATACTTATATATCAATTCAGGCTAAAGAAACCTAATTTACGTGAAAACTTACGTTTCGTTGTGAGATCATATTTTAATTTTAATGTCGACGACCGAAGTCAAGAAGCATTAACTTGCAGCCCCGTCTCTCTCCTTGATTTCGATGAGTGTTCGCGCGAGTAGAAGGAATGTCACCGAATGGCAATTAAATACGATTTTTTAATACTTGGCATCACAAAGAGCACGTCCTTTAATGATCCACCCACCTTAATTTAGGTACAACGACCAATTTTTTCGGCCATGCATTCTAAGAGTTTGCTATGTATATGTTTCTTGACTTCTTCATTTTCAGCAGTAAGTAATAACTGGGCTCTCCCAGCTGATGGGGTATTTTCGCTTAATGATCGTTACTTGCTAGAATAGGGTTGAATTAAACGAAAAGTTTTTTTGTATGTACGTGTATGTAACTATTTTTATGATGGCTCGTCTTCACAGCTTGATCTCAAATCAAACGCAAATACAATACGTTATGGAAAATAAAGAGATCCTTTGCATAAGAACATACTCACTAGATTTTTTTCTGGGAAGGGTACTGCCATCAAAACGTTAGTTCATTTGCCACAAAATATATAATCACTAGATAGATACCGGAAATATTCACAGGCATTTCACGCTTTTCATTGTAGAGTCTAAGCAAGTCTTTGGGTGGACGACGAATACCAACATCACCCATTTTAGTTATACCGAAAAATCTACACGACGGCGACGAAAACTAGTTTCATTAGCTTTACATGCTAGAAATCATAAAAAACGTAACATCGACCGCGAAATGTAATGCAGAATGCCACTTTAAGAAATCTGATAGAGCAACTGAACAGCACTAAGCCGTTTACTGCGATCACACTGGCAGTGTTTACAAAATAATTTTTGTGGCCTCTATATCAGATTATCCACCTGTGTCTCGATTGTGCGGCAAACATCGGCGCCGCACCAAGCATAAAAAACTGTTGTGTGGACAAGGTGCAGACTGACGAAGATACCAGGAAATGGCGTCAGGTAGGTTGACTCGGTACTTTCCAAGCAACGCTGTCATTAGTTCGTAAAGGCACGAGCAGGTCCCTCTGCGCTAGCTACAAACGTGTATAACAAAAAACTATACTAAGTGACATATAAATCCGAACACCCAGTTTAAATGGTTTTATTTTAATAAAAGTTCGTGAATGTATTTATCTTACTGTAAATAACAAGTGAAAAAATTTTCAGCCTTATCAGTTGGACATTCCGGTTTTTATACTGCTTTTTTTTAATTCACTAACGCTCTAAAAATGAACATTTCAGCCGCAGTAAAGTATCAACGTTGGCGGATTTTGGATCTTGACATCCTTTACGATCGGTTACGATGCCTAGAGTACGGAGACCTGTACGATTTCGTCAACTTGGTGAGTTTGATAGGGGCCGTATAGTGGGACTTCGGGAAGCTGGACTTTCTTTTCGGGCAATTGCAGTTAGAGTGCAAAGAAGTGTAGACACTGTGGTTAGGTGTTGTCAGGCATGGCTTCGAGAAGGCCGTACGCAAAGAACAAGGGGCACTGGACGCCGCCGTAGAACAACAGACCGTGAAGATCGCCGCCTAAGATTATTGGCATTAAGGGACCGTTTCTCCACTACCAGGACCATTGCAAATGAATGGTTTGCAGAACACGGAAGACCTATTGGCATGCGAAGTGTTTACCGACGAATGAGAAGTTTTGGCTTGTTTTCATACCGGCCACACTGGGTCCTCCCTTTAACTCGAGAACACCCACGTAATCGCCTTGAGTGGTACAGACAACGGTCACTCTGGGATCAGGGATTGAACAGTATTGTCTTTAGTGACGAGTCACAGTTTTTTGTTGAAAGACATGTTCATCACACTGTTGGAGTTATGGTTTGGGGTGCTATAGCTTATGGTTCCAGGTCACCTTTAATTTTCATCAGAGGTAACATGAACGCGCAGCGTTATATCTACGAAGTTCTAGAACCCCATCTTTTACCCTATCTTGACACCCTGGCAGATCCAACTTTCCAACAAGATAATGCCCGACCACATGTTACCATGGCCACCAAGATCTCCCGACTTATCCCCAATTGAGCACGTGTGGTATATGATGGGTAGGAGATTGCTCAATTTGCAACGTCCTCCTCAGACTCTAGAAGCACTTCGAGAGGAGTTGGTGGTTGCCTGGAATGAGATACCACAGGAGGACATTGACCACCTGATCAGAAGCATGCCTAGGCGCGTTGGAGAATGCGTAGCACATCAGGGTGCATCCACACATTATTAAAGGTCAAAGGGCTTTAAAGCAGTGCAATCATTTTGAAATTTTTATCATTTACTTATTATGCTTCATTAAGTACTTATACAAAATTTTATTAAAATAAAACCATTTAAACTGGGTGTTCGGATTTATATGTCACTTAGTATATATCGAGCCAAACAGCCATACACTTAGTCCATACTCCAAAGACCCCACAGACTCGATAACGCTAGTATCTTTACTGCCCTAAGTATCAACCTTCTGGCAATGGTGGTGGAGCTTAACCAAGCCATAGGCGCCAGCCACGAGTCTCATAACTCGAGATCGAGAACGCCGGCAATGCAGTCAGACGGAGACAAAGTCTGATGCATTAATAGGCACCGTCGGCCGCGAATGTAAAATATGTCTCTCACTTTTAAGAGCAAATGTACGGGAAAAACCATAATGTATGGAATATGTATTAATAGGTGAGTGCAATTTGGTACCGTATACATACAGGGTGTTCGAAAAATAGTCGGGTATATTTTAGAAGGTGTCTCCTTGTTAAAAAACATGAAAAACGGTTC